TTATTATTATTATATAAGAAGTTGAAAAAATAGTATTCGTTCGGGTTTTAAAAAAAATTTCTAACTGCTAAACTAATGTCAATGTGAGCCAACAACACAGTTTTGACTGGGAGCCCCTTCCTCAAGTTACTGACCACTGTCTCGTCACCAATGGTCAGTGTGCGGGATAAAGGGTTAAGGTAAGAGCTTCAGGCTGAACTGGTCAGACGGGTGAGCGTGGGTGGACAGTGGACAGTCTCGTCTGGCACTTGTTCTGTGTTTGCTGTGCGGGGGTCAGGCTATGTCTCTGGAGTGTGTGTGTTCTTTGCAGAAAATGTGTTTCAGCCTGTGACCGTGTGTGGTTGACCGACGCGGTGCCGATGTTGTCAGGGTGGAAATATAAATTTCCATGGATGTTTTTTCATTCTTCTTGGGCTCTAAAAGTTAGGTTAGGCCTAGATCTATTTTAAATCAAATTCAAACGTTTGTTTAGGTATTGTTGAGGACTTTTATCAATAATCAATAACAGCAGTACAGTGTACAGTTCAGTGTTCCTCGACAACTTGCTTCCTGCTTTGTCCTTCGCTGATGCATTGTTTGTTTGAAGAAAAGTAGGATTTGGGGGAAATTTTCTGTAATTGAACAGTTCTAAACAAGGCTTTCAAAAGTTCATTTCTTCAATTTAACACTCCTCATTGGCATATAAAATTTGTTGAGTTCCTGCTTGGCATTATGTTGAACGGACTCCGTATGTTGAATTTTTCACGGTGTAGTTTCTGCAGTCCTGGATGGTAGATCTAAGACACAGTACAACTCTTCAAATTCGGGGTGAGATTATCAGTATCACATTGATTTTAATTTGAAATTGTGTAATTTCATAACCATACCATTAGTTCAAATCAACCCTAGCTTAGCCACAGTTTAACAGTCGGAGATGAAGTTGATGAAGTCTGTTCTTTTTCAGACTAGCGTGAATGTAGCTTTTGCTCATTTGGGTGTTTAGAATTTTTTAAAATGAGAATGACCGTGATCAAGAGCATGAACATTGTATTTGTATATTCCTACGCAACCCCAATTCCTGCCAGATGACTCCAATTTAAACACACATTATACTTATAATGATAATAATCTAGGAAAAATGAACCAACGAGAAACGTTTCATTGCTCTGCCCCACTATTTGTGTAAAAAAATAGGAAAGATACAACTTTCAATAATGCAACCTCCTAATATATATATAACTTTTAAAAGTTAGAAGTGGGACATAGTAAGTACTGTATTTCTTTATTTTTAAGTTCTCTCAAGACGGCGTGTAAACTGATTTCCGCATGTGTTAAAACTGTGACCGCCTTGGGTCCAATGAATAAGACTGAAAAGTTCTTTCTCCATCATAGAGATGTATGTCTAACTCTGTCTCCTTCTCATAGACATGTCTAACTTAGTCTCTCTCCCTGCCAGACCACCGTGCAAAGTGGCGACCGTCAACCGTGTGCCATGCCTCGCATGCACCTGCGGAAGTGCTTCGTTTTGACGGCCGTCATCGCCACAACATGCCTGCTCATCGCCTTCCTGACCCTGCATCGCGACCCGACCTTTGACTACGAGAGGGGCGTGCCTGCTGTCGATCCAGAACTATGGGAGCTTTTGGGTCCCCGGCCCACGTCACCGGTCAGTCCTGGGTTTTTGTCAACCACTTTTTGGCTTTTATGGATCAGTCCTGGGTTTTTGTCAGCCAGTCCTCGGTTTTTGTCAGTTTTAACGGCTTTACGACTCACAAAATAGGCCAATATCACTGGTGTCTGTGGTGTGGCAGTTAGAATGAGTTAGGCACTCGCTGACGCACACAGAAGACCCAGTCCAATTCCCAAGTTGGGAGGCTGGAATGTTGTATCCCTCTCAGGTCAGGTTGGATGTAACAGGGTTTTCCTCAGCTAAAATATATGTACCTTGTCAAAACTTTACAAAATTCCTTTAAAGAAGGAAGTTTATGTTGCTACTAGTGCTAATACTCTCATCAGCAATTTCCTTTGAAAAGGTAAAAAAGTGAGTAATTTGATATATATATACACTTATATATATTAT